GGTTGCTCTTTCACTTTCTTGATAATGCCCTTTATTCATTCACGTTTACCTCAAATATTTATTGAAAGTCTCCTATGTACCCCTCACACTGCCAGCTGTATGTTCCACGAGTTTAACAGTGAACATGATAGGCAAGATCCCTGCTCCAGTGAGCTTAACACACAGGCTAGGGCGAGGAGGGGGGTCACACACCATACATAAAGAAACAGCAATTTCCAATTACAGCAAGAGCTATGAACGAAATAAGCCATTCAACCCAAATGCAAGCATTATTAGCCTTCTAATTTATAAATGGGTAGAGATTTGGACTAGAGTATTGGTTTTCAAAATATGCCCCTTGAACCCCTAGAGAACAGATCCTTAAACTTTAGCATATCAGTGTTCCTTGTTAAAATCAAATGAAAATTATAGGCTATGGGGATTATGAATTTCCTTAGTGAAAAAGCACATGCACCAATAACTTCCTATCTCTCTCTTAGGTTTCATAGATTACCTGAAGTCTATCTGCAGGAAGCTGGTAGGGGTGGCTCTAAGCTTAGCCCATCCTTCTGCCAGAGCAGCTCCTATTGTCCACTATTTTTGCATATTGGACCTTCAAGAAAGATTTTATTTGATCCAAGTGTGTTGTGGGCCCCACTCTCCCAGAAAATAGTTTAGAAACACCAAGTTAGAGGATCTCTCTGTGTTATCTCTTTCAACAAAACATTAGTAAGAATTCTACCCTTCGAGATGCTTTTTCCTTGTTTACTTTCTTCAATGAAAAAACTAGACTGTGTTCACTTTCTCTTTTTTCATTCTTGCCGTCCTCCTGGAACCTGCCTGTCCCTCTTGCCAGCGAGATATAAATTGGGATTAATACAATGTCTCTCGATAGGGGCCTGTCTGAATGAGTCATGGTGAGTTCATTCCATGGACTACACTGCAGCCATTGAAAACAAGGTGGTTGATTTCTGTGCACTACTATGCACAGTCTGATTTCTTAGACTAAAAGCACGGAGTTCTGATTAAGATAAGGTCCACTACATTAATCTAGACAGAAAATAGAGTGAAAACCTGAATTAAAATAGTGCTACAGGGCTTCCCTGGTGGCGCAGTGGTTGAGAGTCCGCCTCCCGATGCAGGGGACACGAGTTCGTGCCCTGGTCCGGAAAGATCCCATATGCTGTGGAGTGGCTGGGCCCGTGAGCCATGGCCGCTGGGCCTGCGCCCGGAGTCTGTGCTCCACAATGGGAGAGGCCGCGACAGTGAGAGGCCCACGTACCACAAAAAAAAAAAAATAGTGCTACAGCAGATGAAGAGGGAAAAGAGATAAGGAAAACATAAGGAAGCAGAATCCATAGGATCTGGTGATTGATAACATAATACTTCGCTTCCCCCCACATAATGACACCACAGTAACAGGCTCTAGTATAATAACAGGGGATTATTATACTGTTACACTGCAGTGGAAAAGTCTGCAAGGTCCAGACTCTAAGAAGGAGTTTTTAGGGACAACCAAGCCAACAAGGGAGATAAAAATAAGGATGCTAGAGGAAATTGATGCGTCTGACACTTACAGCTAGAGCAAGCACTAAACAAAGCCCAACTCCTAGGCAGATTAACATAAAACCTCACTCTGAAGGCCTATTTACCTTAGTTCCTGTTATCTAATATATCATTACAGCTTTCAACAAAGAATTACAATCCATGTTAGAATGAAATAATATTCAGAGTCTGAAGAGACAAAGCAAACATCAGAACAACATTCAGATATGGCACAGAGTTTAGAATGGTCAAACAGGGAATTAAAAATGGCTATTGGGCTTCCCTGGTGGCGCAGTGGTTGAGAGTCTGCCTGCCGATGCAGGGGACATGGGTTCGTGCCCCGGTCCGGGAAGATCCCACATGCCGCGGAGCGGCTGGGCCCGTGAACCATGGCCGCTGATCCTGCGCGTCCGGAGCCTGTGCTCCAAAACGGGAGAGGCCACAACAGTGAGAGGTCCGCATACTGCAAAAGAAAAAAAAATGGCTATGATTGGGCTTCCCTGGTGGCGCACTGGTTGAGAGTCCACCTGCCGATGCTAGGGGACACGGGTTTGTGCCCCGGTCCAGGAAGATCCCACATGCCGCGGAGCGGCTGGGCCCGTGAGCCATGGCCGCTGAGCCTGCGCGTCTGGAGCCTGCGCTCCGCAACGGGAGAGGCCACAACAGTGAGAGGCCCGCGTACAGCAAAAAGAAAAAAATAAAATTTAAAAAATTTAAAAATGGCTATGATTAATATGTTAAGGGCTATAATGGAAAAAAAATAGACAACAGGCAAGAATAGACAGGTAGAATACAGAGGAGTGACATCAACAAAAGTAGTAGAGTAGGGAATTTGAAGGGCCTGTCCTTCCACAGAAACACCAAAATGAGCAAACACTGTCAGAACTAAATTGGTCAGACTCTAGGAAATAAAGGTTTGAAGCAACCAAATGAATGCTGAATCAACAAAAAGAAGCCTTCGACAGGAGGGCTTTGTGGTGTTTTAACTGAGCCTTGCCCCCTTCCCCTCCCCTCCATGGTGATAGTCTTGAAGACAGTAGCCCTCATTCCTGATGTAGGTATCTTGTTCTGGAGGAACAGCGTAGACCTTGTTCCCAAGGAATTGTATTTGTCTATTTTGACCCGTCTAGGGTTTCCCTGAGGACAGATACAACGTGCAAGTTTTTTTTCACCCAACTCAGAACTCTCTCATGGTGACACAGTGGCTGTAAAAAGACAAAGATAAAGATAGAATCTTGAAAGCAGCAAGAAAGAAGTGACTCATCAAGTAAAAGGAATCTTCAATAAGATTAGCAGTCAATTTCTCAGAAGAAACCATGGAGACCAGAAGGTAATGGGATAACATATTTAAAGTGGTGACAGAAAAAAAATCTGTCAATCTCTCAACCAAGAATTCTATATCTGGCAAAACTATGCTTCAAAATGGAAAGAGAGGGCTTCCCTGGTGGCGCAGTGGTTGAGAGTCCGCCTGCCGATGCAGGGGACATGGGTTCGTGCCCAGGTCCAGGAAGATACCACATGCCGCGGAGCGCCTGAGCCCGTGAGCCATGGCTGCTGAGCCTGCACGTCCGGAGCCTGTGCTCCGCAACAGGAGAGGCCACAACAGTGAGAGGCCCGCGTACCAAAAAAAAAAAAAATGGAAAGAGAAATTAAGACATCCCCATATTTTAAAAAAGCTGAGAAAAGTCATCGCTAGTAGACCTACCCTAGAAGAAATGCTAAAGTTAATTCTTCCAGCTGAAATGAAAGGATACTAGGCAGTAAATGTAAGTCATATGAAGAAATAAAGAACAGTGGTAAAGATAACAATACAGGTAAATATAAAAGCCACTTTTATCATATTTACGGTTTGTAATACCTCTGTTTCTCCTACATTATTTAAGATGCAAACACATAAAACAATACTTACAAATCTATGTTAATGGAAACAATAAATAGAAATTTAACTTGTAATAATAACTACAAGAGTGGGGACTGAGCTGTATAGGAGCAAAGCTTTTGTATACTATTGAGACTAGGTTGTTATTAATTCAAACTAGATTGTTAAAAGTTTAATATGTCAAGTGTAGTCCCCAGGGTAAACACTTAGAAAATAACTTTAAAAAATACAGGGCTTCCCTGGTGGCTCAGTGGTTAAGAATCCGCCTGCCAATGCAGGGGACACAGCTTCGAGCCCTGGTCTGGGAAGATCCCACATGCCACAGAGCAACTAAGCCCATGCATAACAACTACTGGGCCCACGCACGACAACTACTGAAGGCCGCGCGCCTAGAGCCTGTGCTCCGCAACAAGAGAAGCCACCGCAATGAGAAGCCCGCGCACTGCAACGAAGAGTAGCCCTCGCTCGCTGCAACTAGAGAAAGCCCATGCACAGCAATGAAGACCCAACACAGCCAAAAATAAATAAATAAAAATAAATAAATTTATAAAAGAAAGAAATAAAGCGCAGATTAAGATCACATTTAACCCTAACCCATTTAACGGCTTCTCCAAGGGCTCTTTCAGCCCTAATGCACTACAAGACTTGAGGGAGTCGGGGATACAGCTTTAAGTTACTGCAGCTGTAATTGTGCCTAAATGCTTGGGGGTCACGAAGACTTTTGATAACCCCAAAAAGGTACAGGCTAGCTTTTTGGACAATTGCCCACATACTCAAAACTTTGAAGGCCCTTTGAAGTCATCCATGGACCCCCAGATGAGGAAGCCTTGCTTCCCAGGTTGGTCAAAGACCACTGAAGGAAAGATATTGATATACTGGGTTGGCCCAAAAGTTCGTTCGGGTTTTCCATAGGATGCTATGAAAAACCCGAACGAACTTTTTGGCCAATCCAATGTTTTTTTGTGTGCTGATCTATCCCGTGGGTATGCCCAGCTCCCAGAGGGGCCCTTGCCAGCAAAATGGGTGGAAAAGGCTTTGGATCCCTTTGGCAGGGGAGGGGGAGAGTCTTTGCACAAGGACCATTAGGAGCCTGGCCCTGGGTAGGCCTATGTCCACTGAGCCTGAAGACTTGAGAATTTTCTCCATTCTTGAGAATTTTCAGGAAGATTTCACCCACTGTGTCAGGATCTGTGGGAGTGGGGACTGGACAAAGCAGAGTATAATCCATATAGACCGCCCTATGCTGCTGTATTTTTCTCAGCTCACATTCCCGCTGCCCTGTTGTAGCAAGGATTTTAAAAGCAAACAATGTATAGAGTTGAGATGATTATTTTTCAATCTTGGCAGGGGGTTACATTTATCCCTTTAGGTTTATTTCTCTCACACACAAAAATCTGCAGACAGCTTTCGCCCATACTACCTCTACTCTGTGTGAGATCCTGCACCAGCTCCAACAGGGGGAATGCCCAAAATATAAGGTGCTGACACTCCAGTGAATGGGGCACGAGGTGAAGAAGAAAACCCAGAATAACACCCTTTAGGAAAGCTGAGAGCCTCCCCAAGGGAGGCCTGGGGATGGCAGATATATGGGTACTACCTGAAGAGAGGATGCTCCCAGCCATGACATCTTCTGCTACCAAACTCGAGTTCCTCTGAGGTGTCTGCAGTCCTTGGGTCGGAGTCAGTTCCTTCTTGTCACCCCAAGTCGCACACGGCCATACCAGAGCCTAAGGAGGGACGAGGGAAATGTTTCTTGGTGTTTCGTGGCTCTTCCTCTCCACTTCCCCCCTAAATCCCAACCCTGGAGCAGAGCTCCCTCCGGAAGCTGGCCTGGCCACCTCCCTCCCTCCTTCCCCGGGGTTGTCCAGATCTGAGGGTGAAGGGTGCTCACCACCACACCTCTCACCTCGCCTCCCGCCCTCTCCCCCTCATACGCTCATGATTGTTGACCCTGGGGAGGGCTTCCCTGACTCCCTGTCACTTTGTCCACAGCTGCATCCCTTGCCTGGCACCACGATGGTAGTAAGAAGCAGGGGCACAGAGGGAGGGAAGAGAGGCGAAGACGGCCACGGGAATGGAAGGGCTTAGAAGCGACTACGTCCGGCTGCCGAGCCTGGGACAGACTTTGGCAGGGAGTCCCCTCCTTTACATGACCGACAACCTAACATTTAATGATTTTCAACGGACACAGAGAGAAGGTAGCAAGGAGAGCATTTAAATCTCCTGACAAAGATGAGACCATGATTCCTTTTTTCTTCTCTCCCGCCCTGCCTGCCCATTCTCAGTCACCGTGGCCGTTCCTCTGGGAACAGTGGGACAGTTTACACTCACTATTGGCAGTGGCCATGGCAGAGGGAGCCAGGCAGTGAAGGAGGAAGAGGCCGCTGGAGTGGGGGAAGGGCTGGAAGGGACCCCCCCCCACACACACACAACAGGCTCTTGAGTAGCAGTCACCTCGCTGTTTTCTGGGAGGGAGAAGCTGAAGAGCCAGGCCCTGCACGCGGCTGGACAGATCTGGCCTGGACACGCGGACATGCCCTAGCGTCTCGGCCACAGCAGGCAGTGGCCCCCTGCTCCCCGACCCCTTGACTCCCAACCTCAGGCATCACAAATGCAGACCGATCAGAGTGCAAGAGGACCGCTGGCCTCTGCTCTCCTGGCTCCTTTCTCATCCTCTTTGCTCAGCCCATCTTTTCCCTGATGTCCCTCAGTTGCTGAGGGCCGGAGCACAGGGGTGGGGATAGGAGCCCACACCCCTCACACCTGGCTCAGGTCAGCTTTCGTCTCCTCAGTGCCATCTCCGCCTGTGGGATCTGAAGTTGGAGTGTTCTGCCTCTCCGTTCTGTCCCGAGTGAATATCCGGCCTGTGTCTCCAGCCCCCGGGCTTTTGTGTGATGTCTTCCTGTTGTGTCCTCAGAAAAGCATCAGAGTTCTCGTCTTTCAGCCACACGCTGGGGAGGTGGCAGGTGAGTATGAAGCAGAATGACATCTCCCCTCCATTCCCTCCTGCCATTTCCTTCCTTAGTGCCCACGTCTCTTCTTTGTCTGAGATGATGAGGGCTGATGTGAGTGGTCAGGATGCATGAGCAAGGAGCCCCTGCGAGGCTGTGGCAGAGGGTTGATAGGGAAGAAGAGGTACTAATGAGTCAGCTAGGAGCCCCAACTTCTACATCCTGTGCCACAACAGCTGGGACAAGAATGTCCATTCTTCCTGGAGCCCCTGTGTTCAAAGGGTGCTGGAGTATCTGAACTTGGAACCAGGAATCCTCGATTCTTTTCCTGTTTCTGCCCATTCACATCTAAAGGTCTTCCTGCCACTTGCCTTAAAAAAAAATCTCTAAAACAGGACCCATGTTCCATGCTTCTGACCTCTCCTGGGAAGGTCAGCATAGACGAGGACCTGGAAGATGAGCTCTGAAGCTAAAAGGTGTTGTAACTGAGGATGGCAGCTTTGGGAAAACAGAGTGCCCTTTTGCTGACCCGTTTTCAGGAACTTTGCTGAATCTCATGAAGGGGCAGTAACTGCGGGCTCCATCCACGCGGTACTTCCTTCAACTTTTGAATCCATCTCTTCTTTCTAAATGCTAAACAGGGAATTCCCTGGCGGTCCAGTTGTTAGGACTCCGTGCTTCCACTGCAGGGGGACGCAGGTTCGATCCCTGGTCGGGGAATTAAGATCGCGCAAGCCACGTGTCGCGGCTAAAAAAAAAAAAAAAAAAGCTACACAAATAAATGCCCTTTCCGTGGCAGCATGATACCAGCTATCTAGGGTGCTACCAAACATGGATTCACACAGAAAGTGCCCTCTGCAGGAAGCTGAACTTCCCCTTAGTTCCAAGGGCACAATCACAGAGAGACCTGGAAGGGATGGTGGGGCAGTCCTTCTCCAAGCCTTTTGCAGTATAATGGTCTCCTTTCCTTCCGGGTCACTTCCTCCTGTGAGATTAACTCTTTCATTCTTTTTAGTGGCCGTTCTACAGTCACCTCTTATGAGTTTGAGGATACACCTAATAGTGTAAATACTGTCCACAAAAATTCCACCCCTAGCCATCACTTGCCCTCCTTTTTCAAGCATCTCAAGTTTAAGGAATCTAATATATTGTGGTTGTTACTCATTAGCAGTGTATCTAGCTGAATGGGGACATTAGCTTATTGCTTACCACTGACTAGAGAGGAGCATCTCTAGAAAGGAATGTCACACCAGAAGGCTACCCTTCTGACCATCATGAGCCAGCTTTAAAAAGAGCTGGAGAGGCTTCCCTGCTGGCGCAGTGGTTAAGAATCCGCCTGCCAATGCAGGGGACACGGGTTCGAGCCCCGGTCCGGGAAGATCCCACGTGCCGCGGAGCGGCTAGGCCCGTGCACCACAACTACTGAGCCTGCGCGTCTGGAGCCTGTGCTCCGCAACGGGAGAGGCCGCGACAATGAGAGGCCCGCGCACCGTGATGAAGAGTGGCCCCCGCTCACCGCAACTGGAGAAAGCCCTCGCACAGAAACGAAGACCCAACACAGGCAAAAAAAAAATAAACAGGGCTTCCCTGGTGGCGCAGTGGTTGAGAGTCCGCCTGCCGATGCAGGGGACACGGGTTCATGCCCCGGTCTGGGAGGATCTCACATGCCGCAGAGCGGCTGGGCCTGTGAGCCATGGCCGCTGAGCCTGCGCGTCCGGAGCCTGTGCTCCGCAACGGGGGAGGCCACAACAGTGAGAGATCCGCATACAGCAAAAATAAATAAATTTATAAAAAAAAACAGCTGGAAATGATGGAAAACTCAGTAAGGATGCTTAAAAGCTGAATAAGTAGACAGAGTTGATTTTTTAAAACAAGATGAAAGATGTTCCAAATGTTTATGGACCATCTTCTGTAACATGGTTTATGGACCATGAACATAGACTGTTCCAAATGTTTATGGACCATCTTCTGTAACCAATGTTAGGCATGCTCACCAGTCTCTCTTAATTCTCACAGCAGCCCTGATAGGAAGGAATCACTATCTCCATTTTATAAACATGTAAACAAGCTTAGAAAGGACTCTTCATGGAAAAATTATCTGGGGAATTCCCTGGTGGTCCAGTGGTTAAGACTCAGCGCTCTCACTGCCGGGGCCCAGGTTCCACCCCTGGTTGGGGAACTAAGATCACGCATGCCGTGCGGTGTGGCCAAAAAAAAAAAAAGAAGAAAAAAAGAGAAATTATCTGAAGACACCTATTCTAAAAAAGTGAACGTTGGTCATCTCTGGGTAATATGGAAACAATGGAATTTTGTCTGATGTTTAAATCTCATGTGAAACAAAATGCCGTTTTCATTTAAAAAGTAAAATTTTATGAAATAATAAGTATATAGAAGGCTTGACCAACATCCTGAACTAGGATCTGACACAGGTATAAACCCATGTCTTCCAACTTCCCTGCCCTTCCCTTGACATCACATCGTCTTCTCAGGAGATACAGTTGTCTCTCCTGCAGGGGATTGGTTCTAGGACCCCCTGCAGCTACCAAAATCTGAGGATGCTTAAGTCCCTTATGTAAAATGGTGCAGTATTTACATATAACCTACACACATCTTCCCATATACTTTAAATCACCTCTAGATTACTTACAATACCTAGTACAATGTAAATGCTATGTAAACAGTTGCCAGCATGCAGCAAATTCATGTTTTACCTTTCCTAAGCTCTGGAATTTTTTTGATCCGCGGTTGGTTGAATCTGTGCACGTGGAACCTGTGGATATAGAGGGCCAACTGCGCAACCTCAGGCCAATGGGGAAGGAAAAGGAACCACCATGAACAAACCAGTTTCTGTCTGACCTGGCTCTCACTGAGCCATCACTCTAAGTCACAGGCCTCACCCTGCTCTGACTGGACACTCCCTCCTCACATCCAATGTTCACCGAGGCTACGAGGCCATGAGGCCACGTGGCTCTCCTTACCACTCTAGTAAATCAGTTTGCAAAATCTCCAGACCTTCCTGCAAAGCATCCATGTATATGGGGCTGTGGCTGAACAGCCATAAAAATGGGCCTCCTGATAGGTCCTGGAGCAGGGTGGCATCAACTTGAAAGCCTTCCAGTCCACATAGTGAAAGTCAAAAAAAGGCCATTCACCACTGCCCTCTGCCTTCTACAGATACCTGGATGAGGGCCCCGATTACCTCCTTCATCATTTCATTCTGAATACCTCAGTGTTGAGAGGACCAGCAGGAAGAAAGATATCAAGTGCTTCCAGGGTCCCTAGGTCTGTGCTGGCATTCAGGCCTCTGTGTGCTGCTTGGAATTCCTTTGACAGAAAACACTGCAGCAGTAGTGGCTGCTCAGGAGAGAGGCAACTAGAATGGGGGTACTTCTCCCAGGGCAAACACTGAACCCTCTCTTCCTATTCCAGAATGAAGTTCCCTGAACCCTGGTTTGGTTGTTCGTGTAGCCAGAATGGTAGCCACAGAAACTGCCTCAAACTTAGTAATTCTCTCTGAGCTCCCTTCAGAGGACCTGAATACTCTTATTTTCCGTCTCTCCTGAGAAAGAATGGGAGTAGGACTCATGGCCATCACATATTTGCTGAGCACCTGATACCTGAAGAATTTAGATCACGGGGGGTGGGGAAGCTGAGTAACCAGACAGATACAGATAGTTAGAAATAGATAGGTAACTTTAGATATATGAGAACTATTTCACTCTTTTATTTATAAAGAAGTCATTATGGATCAGTCTTGTGCTAGGAGGCACTGAGGATACAATGCTGAATAAAAGAGAGTTTAGATTCCTTTTTATGAAACATAACATGTGCCCCTCCCAAATTTTGTTGATGATAGATTCCTATCACTGGGTGCCTCATCATTTTGTATTCTTTTATCACCTCTAGGGTCAAGCTCTAGCTGCTGGCTTTCTTCAGACTGGAGACACTGGACACGATTCCCTTCTCCTGTGGAGTTTCTGGTGTCTAAGAAGGCTTGACCGCCTGCTAAAATTTCTCCTGCATATGCTACAAGTATAAGGCTGCTCACCTGTGTGGGTTCTCTGGTGTTTAATAAGGTGGGAGTTCTGAATGAATCTTTTCCCACATTCATAACATTTAAAGGGTTTTTCTCCTGTGTGAATTCTTAGGTGGGTGTGTAGATTTGTGTTATGACTGAAGCTTTTCCCACACCATGAGCATCTATATGGTTTTATTCCTTGGTGTGCCAGTAAGTGCTTATTAAGATCTGAACTCCACCTAAACCTCTTATCACATTGTTGACATTTATAGGGTTTCTCTTCAGTGTGAATTCTCTGGTGCTTAATTAGGTCAGAGCTAACCCTGAAGCTTTTCCCACATTCCTGACATTTAAAAGGTTTCTCTCCTGCATGGCCTTTCCCATGAAGATCCATACGTTTTGGAAGCTCTTGTCTGCAAGTTGTAAGTTTCTTTCTTTTCTTCCCTGGAAAAGCTCGATGCCGTTTCCGTACCCTGTGTGTACCACCATGATTTTCTCTGCCCGTTGTTTTCTGGGCAACTTTCATTCTGGCCTTTCTTAATACTTTGCATCCTGATGCTTGTATTTCTAATGTAGAAAGAGACATAGGTTGGTCATTTCCAGTGTCATTTTTGAGCTTTAACCCTGTTGGAATAAACAGAAGAATCAGACATCTGATCCCAGAACAAGAAAACTACAGGAATGAAAAGAAAAATCAATGATGACAGCTTTTAAAAAATACAAGAACAAGTGATTTCTGGTCCAATCTGGACAAAATGGCATAGACCCATTTCTCCCTGATCCTCCTTGCTAGGCACAACAACAAACCCATTCAAGAATGCAAGACACAATGAACAGAGAATTCTAAAAAGTGGTAAAAAGAAGGCAAAATGGTTTGGGACCCCAGAACTACAAGAGTAACACAGCAGGTGTCTTACATCCCCACACCCAAAAAAGAAGGCAAACCAGATCTAGTGTTTTCCAAACCGCAACCTAGCAACAGAAGGCTACCTGGATAGGCTTATTCCTTCCCAAATCTGAATGGGAAACCTTCTAACAACACTAGAACTCCAGTGAGGAGACACCAAATTAGGCATGCAGAACTAGCAAGAGGGACCTAGCCACAAGTGGCCGGGCCCAGGAAGCCTTTTCATCCCTACAGGTCAGAGATTCCCACTGAGAGACACTCTGGCCTAGGTAAGTATCTTCCTCACCATCAGGCAGCACCAGCGGGGACGCAAGGGAACCTTAGCAGTACCATATAAACCAAGGAGACCACAATAACACTATAAAGGCTCTGAAAACTAAACTGTCACTAGACACATACTCCACAAAAGTAGGAAAGAACCTGTGTGCTAAATTAAAACAGAGTGACTGCCCATTAAAATAAAATATTTAAATAGGACCCAGACTCTCCTAACATAATAGACAAAATGATCAGGATGCAATAAAGAAAATAACACATCACACCTAGAACCAAAAAAAAAAATCACAGCTTGAGTGAGAAAAGGCAATCTGACAAAAATGGAATCAGACTGGAAGTCAAAACCAGAAAGACAACAGAAAAATCTAAAAATATATGGAAATGAAACAGTATACTTCTAAATAATCCATGATTCAAACAGAAAGTCTCAAGGGTAATTTAAAAATACATAGTTAAATGAAAATGAAATTAAAATATATCAAAATATGTGGAATGCAGCTAAGGGAATGCTCAGAGGAAAATGTATAGCCCTAAATGCTTACAATAAAAAAGAGGAAAGGTCTCAAATAAATAATCTAAGTTCCTAACTCAAGAAACTAGAAAAAAAGCAAAATAAAATTTTAAAAAGTTGAAGAAAGGAATAATAAAGATCACAAAAGAAATCACAATCAAACAAAAAGCTTATTCTTAAAGAAAATAAAATTGATAAACCTGTATCAACACTGACAAAAATAATAGGAGAGAAGATATAAACCATCAGTGTCAAGAAGGAAATTGGGTATATCTCTACACATTCTGAAGCAATTAAAAAGATAATAAGGGGGCTTCCCTGGTGGCGCAGTGGTTGAGAGTCTGCCTGCCAATGCAGGGGACGCGGGTTTGTGCCCCGGTCCGGGAAGATCCCACATGCCGCAGAGCGGCTGGGCCCGTGAGCCATGGCCGCTGAGCCTACGCGTCCAGAGCCTGTGCTCCGCAGCGGGAGAGGCCACAACAGTGAGAGAGGCCCACGTACCAAAAAAAAAAAAAAAAAAAGATAATAAGGGAATACTATAAACAACTTATGTTCGTGGATTTTAAAAGTTAGGAAAAATGGGCCAATTTCTCAAAATCCACAAACTACCATAATTCAACCAATATGAAATAGATAATCTGAATAGCACTCTGACCATTAGAGAAACTGAATTCATAATTTAAAAGCTGCTAAAAAAGACATCTCCAGGTTCATATAGTGTTACTGGAGAATTCTACCAACTATTTATAGAATTAACACCACTTGTATATAATCTCTTCCAGAAAAGACAAGAGGAAGAAATACTACCCAAGTCATTTTATAAGGCCAGTAATTACCCTGATAGCAAAATCATACAAAGACAGTACTAAAAAAGAAAACTACAGACTAACATCTCCCATGAACTTAAATACAACAATCCTCAACAAAATACTGGCAAACTGAATGTAACAATAATTAAGAATTATATACCATGATCAAGTAGGATTTACTGCAGGTATGCAAAGCTGGTTCAACATTTGAAATCAATCAACATAACCCACCATATCAACGAGCTTTCAAAGATCATAATCCCATTAACTGACACAGAAAAGTATTTGACAAACCCCACATCCATTCACGATAAAAAACACTCAGAAAATAAGGAATTATATCGACCTGATGAGAGTATCAACAAAAAAACCTGTACTAACACCATAGGTAATAGTGAAAGACTTAAAAAACTTCTTAGAACTAATAAGTGAGTTCAGTAGGGTCACAGGATAAGAAAACAAAACAAAATTAGTGGCACGCCTATACAAAAACAATAAACATGCAGAAACCAAATTTAAAATAATACCATTTACAATTGCTCCAATGAAAATTAGCTTCTACATACACGTAACAAACATGCAAAAGATCTGTACACTGAAAATTACAAAAAGCTGATGAAAGAAGTCAAAGAAGACCCGAATAAATAAACATACTGTGTTCTCTGATTAGAAAGATCAACATAGTAAAGATATCACTCCCCCTCAAATTAATATATAGGTTTAATGTAATTTCTAGCAAAATTCCAACAAAGTTTATTGTAGACATAGATAAGCTTATTCTAAAATTTACATGGAAAGGAACAGGCCCTAGAATAGCTAAAATAAAATTTTATCTTGACAAAAGAATAAAGTGGGAAGAATCACTCTACCTGATAGATATTAAGGCTTCCTAAATTGTATAGCTACAGTAATCAAGACAGTGCCATACTGGCAGAAGGATAGACACATAGCTCGATGGAACAAAATAGATGTACACAAATATGCCCAACTGATCTTTGACAAAAGTGCAAAAGCATTTCAGTGGAGGAAGGCCAGTCTCTTCAACAAACGAGGCTGAAGCAATTGGACCTCCATAGGCAAAAAAAATGAACTTCAACCTAAACTTCATACCTTATATAATAATCAACTCAATAAGAATCGTGGACTTAAATGTAAAATTATAAAACTTTTAGGAAAAACATAGAAAATTTTAGGGATCTATAGCTAGTCAGACTGCTAGCCTTGATAACAAAAATACAATCTATAAAAGGAAAAAATAAAAAATTGGTTATCACAATTCAAAATTTTTACTCTGTGGAAGCCCATGGGAAGAGGATAAAAAGAAAAATACACAGCCTTGGGGAAACTCCTTGCAAACCACATATCCACGAAAGCACTAGAATCTAGAATCTATAAAGAACTCTCAAAACTCAACAGTTAAAAAACAACTTAATTAAAATATGGGCAAAAGCCATTTCACTGAACATAGAGATAGCAAATAAGCACATGAAAAGCTACAAAACATCATTAGCTATTAGGGAAATGCAAATCCAAACCACAATGAGATAACACTACATACTTAGCAGAAAGGCAAAAAAAGTATTTTTTTAAAAAATGGTGATACTACTAAACAACGGCAAGAATGTAGAAAAACTGGATCACATCCATTGCTGGCTGAGAATGTAAAATGGTACAGCAACTTTGAAAAACAGTTTGGCATTAAACATGTAATTACCATATGAACCAGCAATTGCACCCTTAAAGGCATTTATCCCAGAGAAACGAAAACTTATCTCTACACAAAATCCTGTACGTGAATGTTCACGGCAGCTTTATTCGCAATAGCCAAAAACTGAAGACAGCAAAAATACCTTTCGATGGGTGAATGGTTAAACAAATTGTGGCATATCAATATCATGGAATGCTTCTCAGCAGTTCATCTGAACTACCGATACACGCAATAGCTAAGATGAATTTCCAGGGACTTATTCTGAATGAGAAAAGTTAATCCCCCAAAGCTACATACTGCATGACTCTATTCATATAACATTTTTGAAATGGCAAAATTAAAAAACTGTAGAACAGATCAGTGGTTGGCATAGGTTGGTGATGGGGTGGGATGTGGGAGGGAAATGTGTGTGGTTATAAAAGGGCAACAGGAGGGCTCCTTGTGGTTATGTAACTGTCCAGTATCTTGATTGTGGGGGCGAATACACAAACCTCAACATGTGATAAAACTTTTTTTTTTTTTTTTTTGATAAAACTTTATAGATCTAAACACACACACATACAAGGGAAAACGGAAACATGAATAAGGTCAGTGGACTATATCAGTATTAATATTCTGGTTGTGATATTATATACTTTTGCAAAAGTTATCATTGACGGAAAATGGGTAAAGTGTACGTGGGTTCTCTTTGTATTACATTTTAAATATGCATATGAATCTACAATTAACTCAATTAAAAGTTAAATTAAAAAAATACAGGGCTTCCCTGGTGGCGCAGTGGTTGAGAGTCCGCCTGCCGATGCAGGACACATGGGTTCGTGCCCCGATCCGGGAGGGTCCCGCATGCCGCGGAGCGGCTGGGCCTGTGAGCCATGGCCACTGGGCCTGTGCGTCTGAAGCCTGTGCTCCGCAACGGGAGAGGCCACAACACTGAGAGGACCGCGTACCGCAAAAAAAAAAGAAAAAATACAGGAACAGAATCTTAAAAATGTTAAGCTCCTATAAAGGTTCCTATCAAGGAATCTTCTCCTCTTCCTATGTATACACTTACCTCAAGGAGACTCTCTAAGACTGTCCTTGAACTCTTGGGGACCTCGGGTCTATGGTTCTTGCCCTTGTGCTAAACAGATCGCTTTAAGTTTAGGGTGCAATGATAATGTTCTGAGAATAAAACTTTGAGGTCACGGACTGCCATCTTAATTCCAGACTATTTTCAGGAAAAGTGAATGACTCTTTTATACTTTTATTTACTCCCAACATTTAAATGGGCAGAATCTTAGATTCCACATCTTCTTTATACTCTACTGTGGTTGTAGGTGGATATGCAATGAGGAAGCGAAGAACTAAACCTATAAGGAGGACAGATGGAAACGATGTGGAGGGGGCGGGGAGTGCAGTGGTATTCCAGCAGACCTACTTAGAGATAAGGTGGCTTAGACCAGATGGTGAGAGCAGAAGAGGTTGAGACGTGGTTGTATTCAGCACCTTTTGTTAAAAACTTTTTAATCTTATACTGGAGTATAGTTGATTAACGGCGTTGCAGGACCTATTTTGAAGACAGAGCTCAGGGCACTTGCTGACGGATCGGCTGGGGGGTGTAACAAAAAGACCAGAAAGAAGGATAACTGAGAGGTTTTGGGCCTGAGCAACTGGGTAAGTCGTGGTGCCCGCTACTGACATGGAAAAGATATGGGAAGAGTGGGTTTGCAGGGCGGGGCAGGAGTATGAGAGATTAAGAACTCTACCTAGAATAAAGAAGTGAGATGTGTATTCGTAAAAAGCTCTCCGGGTGGTCTGGATATGCCTTTCCTTTTCCCCACACCATCAAGCTGAGAACCAACCCGCCACTGGAACACTGGGACTTTCTCACAGGAGTTCATTTTTCATGAACTGAGGACGGGACAGATTACACAAGTTCTACACAAAGGAAAGGAAGAATCTTTACCTAGAGAGATGACAGTCTCATAGTTTTCCTGCATTACATTATGGTAGAGGATCTTCTGAGCAGGGTCCAGTAATTGCCATTCTTCCTCGGTAAAAAACAAGGCCACATCTTCAAATGTCAACAGACTCTAAAGAAGAGAATAAGTTGTAGTTCAGTACTTGCCACGACAAAAGCCATCCTATCACTCATCTCCGAATGACACGGGAGGCCAGTCACTGAAGACCTTAAGAGTATAATATTTAAGGGAAAAGAAGTGAGATGGCAGAAAAGGAAGGCACCAAAGAGATCAGTACACAGCTTGGGAGGTGCCCAATTCCCACAGGGCCAAGCCTCGTTGCCTAGAGAACACCTGGGACTAACGCACCTCAAGAGCACCTGCCAGGTACGGTGGGTCATGGGTAGCAGAGAAAAGCAGACAAGGTCACGTTCAGGCTGCCTGGAAAAGCTGGAAAGTACAGCTCACCTGGGACTCAGGCAGGATGAGCTCAGATGCCATCTTCCAGCTTGGGGTGCTTTCCTGCTCAGAAAAGGCTAGAATCTGTTGAGCAGGCACAGCTGTGGGGGGAAAAGAGCCAGAAAAACTTTCTCTTTTCTATTTATGAATACCCTGAGGCAATTTCTACAATATAGGACTCCTTCGGTAAAGATGGCTCATCTTCGCGCACGTGTGTGTGTGCGTGCGTGTGTGATGTGCTGTGCCAGAAGTGGCCTTCTCCTTGCAAACAAGAACCAAATATCCACCACTCCGCAGAATTGGTTCCCAGTTGACTCTTTCCACAGATTTCATGAAATAAAAGGAAATCCATTATGTTTTTCCTCTCATAAAATAAATTGTTTGCTGAGCTGGGCAAGAATTAGAGGTGTTTGAAAATGAAAGCCTCAGGTCCTCCAGTGTACGGTAGGAAATGTGGGAGATTTATTACTTTTTTCCTGGTGTACAATTATCTTCCCATTCTGCCAATGACAGTCCATTTCTGATCCCAATTTCTCCTTTAACTTGTAAGGGTGAGATGACCCCGCCTGTTCCTGCTGTATCTTCCTCTCTCCTCTCAGATTTCTAAGGAGCAAGGTCCACATTGTAAATACCAGGGTTCTGTGGTTGGGATGTTTCTGTACCACAGAATGACCCTCACCTTCACCCACCACTGGCCTACTATACTCCCACCAGAGAGCCATCCTAAGTGCCAGCAGGGCTGGGCAGCTGGAAAATTCCGTGACATTCTAGCTGAACCAATTACTATCACAGCTCCCAGGAGAAGAGAATTATTATGAAGCTCCTCACCTCTTCCATATAAAGGCTGGGTTTCTTTCTGAGTATTCCAGCCCAGCTGTTCTTGCAGTACCCGGTATGTATTCCAACATTCTTTCTGGAACACACCCATTGGTTGGGGCTCTGCTGGCTTCCACTTAAAGCCTGGGGCCACTGCTGTTTCTCCCAAGAGCAATGCCTCCTTTCCCAGCTCATGGGCTGTGACCTAGAAATAATCCCCATCCTCGTTAGCAAAGAACTTTTGGCCTTGGGGTGGTGGTGGAGGAACAAACAAGACTAGAGCCCAGGTTTGGGGAGCGTGTAACGTTAAAGGAAGTCATTTTTTAATTAATTAATTTATTTTTGCTGTGTTGGGTCTTCGTTTCTGTGCGAGGGCTTTCTCTAGTTGTGGCAAGCGGGGGCCACTCTTCATCGCGGTGCATGGGCCTCTCACCATCGCAGCCTCTCCTGTTGCAGAGCACAGGCTCCAGACGCGCAGGCTCAGTAGTTGTGGCTCACGGGCCTAGTCGCTCCATGGCATGTGGGATCCTCCCAGACCAGGGCTCGAACCCATGTCCCCTGCATTAGCAGGCAGATTCTCAACCACTGCGCCACCAGGGAAGCCCAGGAAGTCATTTTTAAAAAGAGATACTGCACCATGGTTTCCTCACAAGGAACTATACATGTGATCTGGGAAGATTAGGATAAAATGAGAGAAGCTGTGACTGCTGCCGGCCTCCACCCCTCCACAGATGGCCACAGCTCAGGCCACGAGCAGGGTGGGGTAGGCTGCCTGTCCTTTTGCTGCCTCCACTCTCTTGCTTTCTAGACTTGGATCCTTGACCTAGTGGATTTGTATCTTCTAGTTTTCTCTAAAACAAAATAAGGACGCAAAGAAAAAAGGTTTTCCTGTCAGTCAGATTTTCCAATCCTCCCACGTCCAGGGAACGATTTAATGGAGAAAGGGGATGCAGCGGAGGGAAAAAATGAGGGAAGAGTTGGGACTCTAACTTTCCTCCATATGCTTCAGTTGTAATAAGACACCTGTGTTCCTCAAGGTGGACTCTCGAGGAAAGGAAGTGTGCTGCCATCTCCCAAGGACAGACCTTGGTTCCCCACTCACCAGCAAGGCCAAGGCCAAGCACTAAGGGAGGCCACAGGGCTCTTTCCTCCTGGCCCTGAGATGTGTGTTCCCACCACAGAGGGCACCACCCCTCAGCACTTTCTCTCCATTTTTCTGTTGGCACTTTTCTTCTTTCCGTATCCCTGTTTCCTTTTTTTCTATCTCTTCTCTTCCTTTGCAGTCTCCCCAGAGATGTTTGATTTATACTTCGGTTGCTACCCTCTCTTGCCTTTGATCTCTAAGTGCTGTCCACACTTTCAGGTTTTTTTCTCCTTCCCCAAGTCTTTCTTGCCTTTTATTTCTCTGTTGCTAAGTCCTGTCTCCTCAGCCATGCTAGACCAGGCCCATCACCCTCAATTCACCCTGGCCCTGAAGAGGGCGAAATGCATTTCTTTTCTCGAAGGCCAGGAAAGACTCCCAGGAACTCCGAAACCTGGAGGCTGACTGTCGCTGCCAGTCTGTGATTTCAGATCGCACTTAGCTGTTCTAAAGCAACAACAGAAGAATGACCTAATCCATCCCATTATCCAATTAGCAGCCCCCGCCCCGGACCTTTACCCTATTTCAGTGTACCCGTAAGGAATCTTTCTGCTCACCTCATTACTTATTCCACCATGTTCTTTCTGAAAACGGTCTACCAGGGCCACAGCCTCTCTGATGCTCTGTGGATGATACTTCTGCACCCAGTTCTGGATATCCCTGGGCAGAATGGTCAGGAACTGCTCTAGCACCAGCAATTCCAAGATCTGCTCTTTTGAGTGGATCTCTGGCCTCAGCCACTGATGGCATAATTCCTGCAGTTGGCTGACAGCCTCAAGCGGTCCAGGTGCTTCATGATAATAGAAGCTCCGGAAGTGCTGGCGAGCGCTCTCAGGACCAAGACTGTCCATCTGTGGGCTGGATTTCTTACTCTGACTGGAGCTCTCTTTCACAGACCCCTTAGTCTCCCACAAAGCCTCCACGTGTGGGTACAAGCATGCATTCACCTTCAGATGTCTCATCATCATTTGCTCTAGGAATAGTTTTACTCCTATGTGTGACATCCTCCTGGTGCCACCTTTGACAACTGAGGCCTTGTCAGGCTTGGTACAAAACCAATGAGTGGATCTTCTCCCCAAGGTCACTGAGGGAGGGCAGAAAAAAAAAGTAAACGTCAAGAAGAAAGCCACATGACACATATTTACTTGCTATTTATAGTTATCAGAGAAGAAAGAGCAGAAAAGTTCCTGTCCTGCCTCGCCTTTAAAATCAACTGCCACTCAGGATGACTCAAGACTACTTCTGGACATGTTTTTCCCCTTTCCTTTGTTACCCAACTCTGAAACAAAGCACAGCTCAGGGAAGACAAAAGTCAGTTGATCACTTTTTTTTTTTAAGGTTGATGGGTGAAAAAACTGGCACCCATTCACTAAAACGAGCTTTGATATTATCCAATACTTAATCTGTGTGCTTCCTGTCCCACCTTTACAAATGGGGCATATTTGACTTTCTCTAAATTGTAATAGATCACCCCAGTTTTTTGTCTTTAGTCAGGGTGAAAACAACTTCTCTGCCCCTTCATCCTATTATGGAGACTGACGCCTTTGCTTCATGGAACATTTGATATTCTCTTTTCATATTAATATTGGAAAGGAAACTGAGGCGGCCAGATCAGAAAAGAAGTAATTAGAGAAAAAGCAACCTTATTCCTCTCAGCAAGTATCCCCCCACTAAGCAATAAGATGGCATCAACATTGTTTTTCTGGGGGAAGACTTATAAAGGGCACTGAGCAGCTCTGTACCTGTGTCTGAAAATTTTTGCTTACTTTACTGGAAAAACTGACAGTTGGCTTTGTTTACAAGATACCCAAACGTCAAACTATAAAAAAGGAAAGGAGAAACGGTGACGATTAAGGTTCTTCAGAGACAGGAAGGGTCCTTGTAAACGTAAGCCTTCTCTTGACTTTACACTTCCTCAGGGTCATAGAGATCTTTAAGCAAGGCTGAGGACGGCCTTGAGAGTCTGATTTTCTCGGAGGTGATCCAGCAGAAACAACAAAGTTCTTTCAAGGATGTCACCGGTATTCAAAGAAATAATTTGGCTGGTTCCTTGCTGCCTGTACAGGCTCAGGAGGTACAGGGACACGTCCTGTTTTTCTTTGTCAGCCAAAACTAATGTCTAGGAAGCTGAAATGACCCTTTCTCCAGGGATATGCTCATAAGCCAGCGGAAACGGGCAAGTTTCGCTGGGCTCCTTGGTAGGCCTTACGCCCCATCCCCCATCTACACCTACATGTGAGGACCGACCGCGAGGGCGCCCGCGTGCACTCAGCACACCGGCAGCCTCCGAGCGTGCTTCAGCAGCAGCCCTGGGTTATATCTGCACACAGGGTACAAAGAGGTTGCTTCCAGAGATTAGATGTGGCTGTAGGAAACTGAGTGCCGGCCTCGCTGAGAACAGGTCCCGCCGGCTCTCAGGCCGACCCGTCGCCCAGCAGCGACGCCACCGCGAAAAGGAAAAGGCTGCGCGCCCGCACCCCAGCTCGCCACCACGCAGCTGGCGCGTGCGGCCGGCATCTCTCGGGGGCCCTCCTGACCAAACCCAGAAGGAAAATCAAATTACCTCCACCCAGCTCCGGCTTCCGTGGACGCCACTTCCCTCTTTCTGGGCTCGGCTATGAAGTCGCCACGCCTCTCGCCCCCGCGGGGAGGAAGGAAGGTCCGGGTTCCCGCGCTCCCGGGGTCGATGTCGGGAAAGCGCGAGGCCCCGCGAGCGGCGCCCCAAGACGCCGGGGTCCGGGAGCGCGGGGCCTTGGCAGCTCAGTCCCCAGCCCAATCCCACTAGCGGCCCGAGAACATTCCGCAACCCGCCATTTCGGGGTCGCGGGCTGTGGACTGGCCCCAACCGGAAAAGGAAGAATGCATTTCCGGTGGTTCCGTGACAGCCACGCCCAACCTCGCCCTCCCTCAGTCTGGGGAGTCGCAGCCTAGCGAGTCCGGAAGGGCTCGCGGGTCCTTCCCATCCCGGGTTTAGCCCCGGATGCAAATAAAAGAGTTCTGGTTACCGCGTCTCGGGCCCGCGGGAGGCCTAGCTATGCCACAATAGGCGTCTCGTCTCCTGGGAATGATGCAGTCTGCTGATGCGCGACGCCGTGATCTCGGACCCCCGACTTGCGGAGTGGCGGCCAGATTACTCCTGCGTCGCGTTCTGGCAGTCGGTTTCCCTTTCTCCCGGGAAGTTCGCCTGGTTAGGGCCACCAACCCCGAAAATCATCGCTAGGCTCGTCCCGGGACTCCTTAAGTTAAGAGGCCTTTGGTCCTCCTGGTCAGACCCCTCGCTAGATCAGGAATAACAGCCCCTTATATTTTTAAATCCCTTGTCTGGTTCGCTGGCACTTCCTTCCCAGCTATTATTATTTTATTCTTGTTAGGTAGGTTTTAACCGTATGGTGTGGGTTCCATTTATATCTCTCCTTGACATATAAAAAAATTGAGATGCAGGACGCGATGTCCGCAGGGTCACTTGGATTACCGGTGGCAGATTTTAGACCAATTTTGGTCTCCTGTTGGCATACCCCGTGTTTCTGCTACTACATTATGCTTCCCTGAAGGAGAGGAACCTTGTTTCGTCTTATATCTTCTGTAATGCTTAGCATAGTCCTCTGGAGAAGGCCTCTTTCTAAGAACCCGAATATCTCGGGTTGTCAGTGTCTCCAAATTTTCAGTGTTTACCTAGTGTTGAGCCATCTGGACAGAAGTTATCCCTATGAATCAAAGAGGAGAAACTGTATGTAGCTCAATTGTACAGTGGGGATGAAATTGACGTCTTTTGTAAATCAGTGTGAGAAACCACTCAGGCTAGGGGACAAGAGCTCTGCATGCCTGGGAGGAAAATAAACAAGGATCACCTGTCCACCTTTTTACATGCAAATGAAGATTACTCTAAGAAGATAAGGTCAATCCATATTTGCAAAGTAAAGCTGCCCAGAAGTGTGCGAGAGGACACTGCGTTGTCTGTGATTGTAAACCTAGTAAAGATGTTTGCTTCACCAGAGAATCATTTTCAGAATGATTCCTTCAAAGCTCTGTTCCTGAGGTCAGGCATTGTCAACCGAATGTTTTAGGACAATGAAGGGGAAGTCAGAGCACTGTTGCTTCTGGACAATTCCCAGGCTTACCTTTCAGCTGAGTCACTAACCAATGAGGACGGTCGGATAAAGGCATTTTCTTTCTGTTTTCTTTTTCCTTTTTATTTGAAATAGTTAGGTTTTTAAACCGTGTGGAGTTTAATATTAATCTGCCAGTTATCCCTTGTAATTGTCTTCAATAGAAATTATCTATAGATTATATAGTTAGCCATTTAGAACGAATATGGACATAAATATAATGATCTCTTCAATTTTTCTTATAGCCTACTATGGCTTTTACGCTTCAAAGAAAAGAGAAAATTCTTGAGAAGGACTAGAGGTTCCAGGAAGACAAGTTGTAATTCACTTAAAACAAATTTCATCACATATTGTTAATATGGTTAGTGGTAAAAGCATGCACTGAGTCATGTTTTCTTTTATAAAACTCTACAAAATTAAAGGTTTATAATTTAAACCCATAACACCCAGATCCCATCCATAGTAATGTCTTGGCTAATATGTTTGAAACACAAAATAAAAAAGAGAAACTATGTAAAATCTAAAGGGCTCTGGTGGCTGGGGCTTGAGTCTGAGGCTACTGTGCTGCTTAGCTGATGCTGAACTGATCCTAGTCAAGGGGACATCACATCAAGGGACACCTCCTGTGGAGCTTTCTTGGCCCAACTCAGAGCTGATGTCAGGAGGTGGGTGTCTAAGGGACAGGATCCTGGTCAGAAACAGCCCAGTCTTCATCCCTGGAAAAGAAGTCCTCACCCACTGAGTCCACATTCCCATTAATCTCCTGTACCGTGTCCCTGGAGAGGACCCTCTTGCTGGGACCCTGACACCCCATGGCTCCTGGGAGAAGTACATAGTCACCGGAAAGAGCACAAAGTCCCCTTCAGCTCCAGATCATCAAGAACAGTTCTATAAAAGAGGCGGGGGTAAAGGGACAAAATGGTCGGGCCGAGAACAGGTTTCATGGGGGAGAAGGGGAGCAGGCCTGGCCTGCATTTGAGATGGGGGGAGACAAACAAGGAGGGTGGGGTGACACGTGTGGGTGACAGAAGAAGGACCCTCTGCAAGTGGCAGGAAGGGCCCCCCAAGAGGAGCACTCAGGAGGGGGAAGGGCACTGCGGGGAGACAGTAGCATCTGTCATACCACCCAGGGCCATCATGACTTTGTCTTCCATGGTTCCCTCAGGAGGAAGGAGAGGAAGTCTGGGGACAGAAAATGCTGAAGGCGACGGAAATCACAATGACAACAGCATCGCCCAAACCCAGTCCCTGCTCCTTAGGACTAAACACTCTAAAAAGAGAAGGCAACTGGGGCTTAATAATATCCCAACTGGTGAGGTCACAGTAAAGGAATAGCGGCCATCCTTCCCTGCTGGCTGTAGGGCTCCTGTCATCCAGGGGCCCTCCCTCCACATTGAACAGGACTCCCCTCCCCACCCGGTCTGAGGCTCTCCTCCCTCACACAGAGAAATCTTGTAACTGGGGGCACTGGCAAGGGACGGGTCACCAAAAGGAGCACCCAACCTGGGAAATTCTTTCCTTCACAGCTGAGACTCCATTCCTCCGTGCAAAGACACACAAAGGGGGGATTGGATCACAATAAAGTGCCTGCCAAGCAAGCACACTGCTTCTCTGCTGGCCCTGAAACTGCCCTCTCCGCCCCCAAGAGACACTCTACTGCTGGGAGGCACCGGCCACAAAGAGCCCAGGCCCAGGAAACATTCCCCATTGCCCACTGGCAGGGGCTCCTGCCTCCAGAAGCTCCCCACACAGCAAGCATCCCTTTCGTGGAGGCAGCAGGTGGAATCCCTTCCCCCGCCTAGAATCCCAAGGTGGCCCGGCCTGGGGAAGCTCCTTCCATTTCCCCAGGCAGCATCCCCAGCAGCCTGCGGTAAACCAAGCAAACCAAAACAGCACCGCAGAGGCTTGGAAATTCATGCTGTCCTCCCAAGCGCAGCCCACGGCAGGAGGCCAGGGCCTGCTCGCCAAACCTCAACAGGGGCACTGCAAGCTAGAGCAGCGGTCCCCAACCTTCTTGGCTCCAGGGTCCGATTTCCATGGAAGACCATTTTCCCACGGACGGGGGAGCGGGGGTGGTCCAGGCGGTAATGGGAGCCGTGGGAAACCGCAGACAAAGCCTCGCTCCCTCGCCCGCCCCTCACCTCCTGCTGTGCGGCCCGGTTCCTAACAGGCCTCCGACCAGGATCGGTCCTCGGCCTGGGGTTTGGGGACCCCTGTGCTACAGTATCCAGCTCCAACAGACCCCAGTGTCTCCTGACACGTCACCAAAATGTCCAGGACACAATGGAAGATCATCCTTCATACAAAGAACCAGGAAATTCACAACCTGAATGAGAAAAGACGATCAAGTGACACTAACTCCAAAGTGAATTAGGTGTCAGAATGATCTGACCATGATTGTAAAGCATCGACCATAAAAATAATTCAGCAAACAATTAAATGTTCACACGGGCTTACTTTAATAGCCAAAAGCTGGAAACCACCCCCAGGTCCTTCCACAACTAGAGAAAGCCCACACACAGCAACAAAGACCCAACGCAGCCAAAAAAATAAAAATAAAATTAAAAAAACAAAAACAACTTAACCCTAATAATCTTTGGTAAATAAAAGCTAGTTTAAGTTTGTTGGTTTAATTAAACATGTTTTCAAAGTTATCAGCATTCAATATAATGCAGATAAACAACTTACAGTCTACCTGGGTTTGTTAGGCAAATAAGTTCACGTTATTTCCATTGCAAAAATTTGTCTGCAGGAAAAATAGCTTAGGATGATAGCTGACTCTGTCTAATGACTCATGAAGTTTTCGTGAGTAGTTTAAACATAACTGCTGGGAGCAAATAATTTAGATAAATGTCAGTGGGATAAGAGTTTTTAGGTGAAGTTTTTAATAGTAATTATGTTTTACGGTATGCGTACTTAAAAATAGTTCTCCACATCTCTTTGGTAATTTGAAACCTTAGAATTTTTGCTAATTTAGATTAAATGATGAATAGTAATTAAATATCTAGATCATTTCCAAATAAGATAAAATAATGAAGCATTAATTACCTACTCTTTCTTGTCTTATTACAGAGAAACTAAAGATATATGGGTTTATTAGTAAACATGTCTTGTGCTACACTGAAAGCCCACAGCGTGAAAAGGCATGTTTCTAGAAATTATGAAATATATTTATAAATTTGTCCACCTAAAGAATGCTGGTATAACAGACAGTACACAATTGCTTACTTCTTAGTTTTCACTAGAAATTAAGGTTTCTAAGGGTTAAAAATTCTAATTAATATATGTAATCAAAACTACTAGAAATAATAAGGGAAATATCTCTGTATGCAAGAAAAGTAGGGTACGTGTTTTTGGCAAGAAAATGTGTAAGGAATGGAGACGCATTTTTGTTGAGGAAATAAAAGTGATTTTGTCCTAAAAGCCAGTTATTTCAGAATGAGAAGGAAGAAAATGAAGAACAAACTAAAATAGACAGAGAAAATTACAGAAGGCTTATTTTTTGAAATCTTGGGATAGGAATTTTATGTGTGGTCAAGCTGGCTAAGATTGGAATTAATGTATTTAAGTTAAAAAATGAGTTTAATATCAAAAGTAAGGTGGTACAAAATTAAAATTAGTTTCTCTCTCTGTAAAAGGACAAAGTTTTTTTAGATTATTGGTCTGGTCTTGATAAGAGATTATTAAAAGTTTTTCTTTACCTCTTAAGTGATCTGCCTAGAAAGC